CGACCGGCTCGGATAGCGGCCGCGCTGAGAGACCACCACCTGCGGACCCCCTCAGGGTGCGAGAATATGCCACGCGTGCTACGCGAATGGGCGGAACGAGAGGGGGGGGCGGAATGGGGGGGTGGGAAGAGACGACCATCGCTGTTCAGCATTATTACAACGCAGGATATCTAGTTGATTACCATCGCCCCACAAGTACGAAAGACGACTGGGGTGGCTGGAGCGCACCCTTCCCAGCCGTGCGGAACGATCCTGACAGGGGTCAAGTTATCGTAAGGGCGGGGAATCGCGATGTACAGGTTCAGTACGGCGATGCAAGACAATCGTTGTATGAGGCTCTGATCAGTCGAGAGATTGGCTCGGACAGCGCAGCATCACGAACAGTGTTGGCATTCATCGCGAGTCTACCTGCGGGGCGACCTGCTATGACCTTCGGATACCTCCCGACCAAAAAGGGAGTGCTCCAGATGACGAGCGCGAGCCGAGTATTTCCAACGGCACATTAGCTCTCCAGTACCTTATCCGAAACTTTTCCGCATCGAAAGCGCTTTTTTCTTAGGTAAGCTAAGAACACTCACAAGTTACCTCTTGTAACGTTAGCTGACAGTTGTGAGCTGGCACGCCATGGCAGCGACGTGAACCCAGATTTCAATTGCTAGGTAGCTGAAGGTACTGCCCTAAACATTCAAGACGTAACTGGGTATGCACACCCTAGAATCATGAAGCCCACCAAACCTCAAGCGGGCTTCGACCAAGACATGACGACGTTTGATGAGCTGGCAGACATGCCAACACAAGGCAGCGATACCAGGGAGGCCCCCGAAGCCGAACCACCACAGGAAGAACGGCTTCCCACGATCTATGAGGAATCGAAGGCGGACCTCGAGGCACACATTATGGAAGTGCGGCATACGAGGCTACAGGACAAAGGAGAGCTGCTGGAGGCAACTCCAGTGGAAGAACTCCTACACTGCACCCACACTGCTGATCTCTGAGAACAACGCGCTGGCTACAATGGCTGAAGAACAGCAAGGGTGCTTGCCTACGTGGGGTAACCCACTGGACATCTACACAGCTGAGACATATCATGTCCAATTGTGTTCTAAGGTCGAAGATGACAGTCACGGATTGGACTCCGACGAGCACGGACAATATGTAGAACTCTGCTTTACGGCAGAATTTGAAGATCGTCCTATGCGAACGACATCGTAAGAGATTGGACTTCGACCGCGTCACTACGACGCGAGCATATGCGACGGCTGCAGCCAAACGAGCTGCCGTCATCAAGGAGGACGATCTTCTCACGAAGGGAGACATTCAGACGAATCCGCTCGAGGTATCGAAAGCCCCATCTACTGAACTCAAGGCCTGGCTCGACACTACGTGTCTCGCAAGACATATCCAAGGCGTCAAACATCATGACTTCGCGATGCGTATATAATAAGAAACGCCTCAAGAACGGAAGGGCGAGATGGAGCGCGCCATCAGATTGCGCCTGGTACTTCGGCTTCATGGACCTCGACGCCTTCGATGTAGAAGCTTGCTCAGGAACGGCGCGGCGGCGAGGCCAGCGATTGCTCGCCAGCGCGGCGGCGCGCAGGATGCAGTGGACCATTGCTCCCCTTGAAATCAACATGGCTTTTCCGAAGGGACTTACGTATCAAGCGCTCGCTGAAGCGACCGGTGGAAAGGGACGTGCGGCGTGCTTTGCGCTGCCACCTGCCTCGGCATCGGCGCTCAGATCTCTCCCAGGCTTCGAGCACTATGATGAGTCAAGACGCTGTCTGCAGTGCCGTAAACCAGGCACTGGCACCAAAGATGCACCAAGAGCCTTTCCACTGAAGCTCAGGAAGACCACGAGAGGCCGCGGACTCATACCCACGTCTTGCGACGAAGAAATCGAGACGAGTCCCGACCTTCTTACTGCCAAACAGGTCGACGATACAAACATGGCCGGTTCCGAGGACACCGTCCGTCGACGAGGGCGTCAAGCGTTCTGGGGCTATTCTTGGGAAATCTAAACTCAACGAACACATGCATACCAAGTGTGTTGTGAGATTTGCTAAAGACAGCGAAGGCAATGTTATCTTGACCAAGATGAATACATGAAGCAGCTCCGTCCTAGCCAGCAGCGCGAACTCACGGGCTCAGATGCTGAGGCTAAGGCATCGAAGATGGTTACGGATATGTTTGCCAGCCCCAGGGGCGCTCCGGCTCACGCCCTTGTCACACAGGTGCGGTTAATGGTCTATGTTGTATCGCTACAGCGTGTTCATGAACCGACCAACATGCAAGTGCGACGACTTGACGAGATTACCAGGAAGCTGCAGGCTTGCCCTAAAACGATTTTCAATCACGCGATGACACCAATGGGCGAGGTCGACCTGCATGGCGTTCCTGCTACTATCGCCGGAACGGCGATGCCGATGACGATGTCAAAGACTATGGTATTCGCGGGGCAAACCTGCTAGGGCGTGGACACACGCATTCTGGTAAACCCGTCGCCCATCTTGTCGACGCGCATTTCAAGTCGAACCGCTTGCAAGTCCGCTCGAGCTACTCAGCTGAAGCGCTGGCAGCAGCCCGCAATTTGGAGAACTGCTACCCCGCGATTATCACGCCACACGAACTCCACGCAGGGCCGCTGACACCCACTCATCTGAAGGATATACTTGAGATGGGCGGCCTGAGCATTAAGATTTCTTTGACCATTGATGCAGAATCCGTCTTCAAGCCTTTGTCAAGCAAAGACCTGAAGAAGCCGGCTGAATGTACACTTTTGGGTCACATCCGTTGGATACGGCAAGTGATGGAGCGGGGTCTCGTGCATTGTGCGCAAGGGTGTGACACTCGCGTTACGATTGCGGATGGACACACTAAGGGGGGCATCGACAGAGACACGCTCCTGCAAACCAGGGAAGGAGTACAATCCTTCAGGCACGACTTGAAACGACACGCCCCCTATAGGGCGGGCCAGGCGAGACCATCTGAGCCGCCTGAGGATTAGTATGCTGCGGGGCAACCTGCTTAGGTTGAGCCCGCCGGCTGCCGCCCTTCTTGTGTAATAAATTTGTCTTGTTGAGTACAGCCGGTAGCGGACTCACGCTTCGCCCCCCCCCCCCCCCGACTCTGAAGGAGGAAGGGCAAAGGCGAGATGTATCGAGCGGCTGTCCGCGGCCGTTTTGGCCCACTGACCGGTCGTCTATCTGACCGGGCCGTGCCGCGGCCCGCTACTCTACATCGAAACAAAAAAGGTGTCACCTTTTTGTTCTTGAGATGTATCATCGCCGCTCACGCGGCGTCTTCCTATTTCTGGCACTCTCGCTAATACGATACAACAGGGTTGGACGTATGCTTCGCCTTAGGCGAAGCATCTGGTTGGGCCTCCCGACCAGCTTTTAACTAGAGAACCCACGCGGCCTGAGGGGGCCTTCGACAATTACGATGACGACCTCTCCCGCGCACCAGCTTGCCACGACAGCGACGGCCGCGACGCGGACGACGACAATCTTCCTCCACGCCCAAGCAGGCACACGAGGGCAAAGACCCATGAGGTGGAGGTCCACCAGGACCCCACCGCAGGCAACCCACTGCGACCCACGCAGGACAATAGTGGGATCGACCACACGGAAGCAGGACGGACCCTACCGCCCCCTCCGACGCTGGCAGCCACACCCCAAGGCACACCTGCGCCAGCAACGCCATCCACCTCGGACAGGACTTGCGCATAGTAGGCGAAGGGTCACGGACTGCGCCCGATAGGCCAGTGCCGTCGCCTCAACCCGTGGGATTGGCCAGTTCTGTTGCACACCCAGTCTCCCAACGCGGCGCGTCCTGCCACCAGACAAATCCTCCATCCTACCTGGGAGCGGGGGCCAAAGCTTTTGTACCGCCCGCCAGGGTGTAGTTGCCCGATCGACCCCAGTGCAGCGTACCGACCAGAGGAGAGCCCTCACGCAGCGCCTCGCGTCGACCAGGCTGCATCCCGCATTGGATCGTGAAGCGGCGCTCGCCGCCAGTATCACGGCGCTACAGCAACGCGCATCCGGCCTCGTACCCACGCTGAGCAACATCCAGCAACAGTCCTGACCCTTTCTCGACAGGTTCCAGAGAGCACACTCCGCCTGGAACGACCTCCACCAGGCCTTCCGCACGCCAGCCCTCCCTGGGCAGGAATGTCTCCAAGCGCGACTTGCTGCCCACTGCTAGCGCACCAGTGCTAGCTATTTTTTTCCTTTCATACTTAGTGCCCTGCGAGAGCTCCTGGCAACCAGCTCCGTGATCCTGGCACGGGGCTGCCGAGGGGGATGCCCCAAGACGGCGTTTTCTTCCCACAGGGCTCCGCGGCGCGCATGCCACGGAACCCTGCGCAGAAAGGGTGCGCAGACGGGGTGTCACATCCTGGTCACCCGAACCCGCCACCTTTTCCAGTCGGAGTCCCCTTTAAGAACGCGCCAGGAGGGGGGCAGTTTTCGCCACCCCTGCCACGTACACGCGGCCCCTCCCGCCAATGAGGTGCGAGCAGGAGGCGCTTGTACCCTCCACCCGCGGACGAACTCATCGTCCGAACTGTTGCGCTCTCTTTTTTTTTTTTTCTCTCTCTCTCTCTCTCTGCCTTTCCACCCCTTTCGTCGCTATTTCTCCCCCGTTTCCCTCTGGCCGCCTCTCGCCTGTTCTACTTCCTCTCCAGTGGACGGGGGAAGCCTGACATCGTGCTGCCGCCCCATAGGGCGATAGCGCTGGCCGCCCCTGGGGCGCTACAGCTGGCTTCTGGCCTCACGTCGGGGCGCGCGTGGCCGCGCCTGAGCGACACAGCGAGGGCACCTCGAGCCCAGCACCCACCCGGGGTGGCCCTCCCGAGGGCGGAACACCTGCTCCGCCCCGCCTTCTCCACGGACGCCCGCCCGCCTCCACGCCCTCCCGAGCTGCCCCGGCTTTCCCCCCCCCTCCGGCCCCGCAACCCCTCCCCACCCCCGCCGCATCGCGCCGCAGCTCGCCAGGGCGCTCTGGAGGCGGACCCGGGCTGCGCGGAGCTGCTCGAGCTGCGGCGGAAGCTGGGGCCGCTGCCCGACGGCCCCGACGCGAGGAGGGGGCGGGGAGCCGCGGGGCCGAGGCGTCGGAGTGGTCTCAGCGATGCACCCACACCTGTCCTGGCCAGGCCGATCCGGGTCCCAGGATTTGGTGTGCAGGCCCTCGGGCCCGAGCCAGGAAGGCGCATACCCCGATCTTGGTCCAGGATGGGCCTGGCCAGGGTCGGTGCAGGCGTGTAGTTGGTGCCCTCCTACGACGAGTCGGATCCCTTTGGCACAGGCGCGTGACAAAGCAAGGGTGGCCCCCAAAGAAGTGCCAGAATTCAGCGCTTCGGCCCGCGACGTGGCCTCTTAAGGACCCGCCCGATTTCGGAAGCGCGTGGAGAGTTACATAAGGCCTTGGCTCTCGACGTGTCTTTTCGAGAGGGGCTCGGACGGATGTGCCTGACCGTGGTTGCGCTTCGCCAGCACTCGCAGAAAGGAGTAGGTCTTTTAGTGAGCACATGTGAGCACGCAGTCTGTGTTTGGAAACGTGGTCGCAACTAAATCTGCGGGTCGTTCTGGGGTGGTTTGGTGTCGCCGCCACCTCGTTGGTGTCGGGCTTGGCCAAGGGACTTGTCTGGGCAGCGGACTGCGGTGCGCACAGGGTCGGCAGAGTGACCAAGATTTCGAATTCAAAGCATAGTGCTGCTTCATGAAGATCATCATGCGCAGTGGGGGCAGGGGAGCTCGATGCGAGCACGTGAGGGAGAGGCCTTTCTCTGATACCGTCGCCGCCTTTCAGTAAAGTGCCCACCGCTTGGAGAGGGAACCTGCTGGCACACGTCGGAGAGAGCGTAAGCCAAGCGTGACACTGACTGGGCGTGTGCGAGGCCTCCTGGCGGAGGGGACTCCAGCGACGAGGACGTCGCCGTGCAGCGGTGGGCCACATCGCGCACGGAGGCCGCAGCGCCCTATCCGACGTTCCCTTGCTTGTTGTCGCGCCAGTCTCGAGGCAGTGTCCTGGTGACCAGGGGCAGCTCGCCCGAGAGGCGATCGTCTGGGTCGCGCCCAGAGGCGTTCCCAGTCTTGGGCGGGCGCCGTCGAGACGCAACCTGGGATCGGTTTGCCTAGCGGTCGTTTCGGCAAAGGGGCATCCTTGGCCCAGGATCAGAGAGAGGCAGCAGGGAGAGGGGCTCGTGTCGGGGGAATCTGCCTCTTCGGACGCTCCGCAGGGCGCCGATTCGACGTCACAACCTGGCAGCAAGCGACCCACAGGGATGGCGCATTCGTGATATTTTGGCGAGCTCCCCACTCTTATTTGACAATGAATATTCGCTCTGCTCACTAAACGCCACAGGGCATTACCCCAGACAGATGATACTCTTTCGGGTTCTTCCTTACAGCACAGTGAGCTGATGCTCCGCATTGGATCTGCAGCGATTCCCCCGTGGGGTCCTGCCCAGAAGGTCTTTGGCGTTGTCGCCCCTGGGCGTTGGGTGCCCATCGGCTACAGGATCCCGCCTATAGGGTCCCCGCCTCAAATTTCCTCTTGGGGCATTGGGTCTCTCGTGTCGCCCACAAGGTCTAAGCCTTAGTTGTCTTTGCGTGTGAGGTTTTCGGCGCTTAGAGGGTCCTGGCTGTGTTGCGGGGGATGCCTATCGGGTCCCGCCCATGGGGTCTTGGTTTTCATTGCGCCTGCGCGTTGGTACATGCCGTCTGCAGTGCAAATACCATATGATCAGGATGCATCGTAGTCGCTGTTACCCACACGAAGTAGTAAGCGGTGTACCCCTGGGGCGTGGACTGGGGTTAGGCGTTGGAGCGGTGGACGGCACAACATTCGAAATTTGTTTTCGTCTTTGTTCAGGCAGGACGTGAACAAAAAAGCCAATGGGGAGCCCAAGGGAAGCTGAAGTGAATTGACGAAGTGCAGTTCAAGGAACGCATGGGACAATCACGTGTAGAAAAGGCACAGGACTAAGGCGGGAACGAGTTCGGACACTACTATCCACTCCCTAGGGAATGCATACAGACCCGCATTCACAAGTACGTCGTTCTTGGCGCACGCCGTTCGTGTATATAGGGGCGCGGATTGGCATTTGCATCCGTTGGGATTGCGCAGTGGCGTGGCGTGGCGCACTATCCACAGGAGGCGGCATTCGGCTTCGTTCTATGCGCGTGGAGATGGCTTGCGAGGTTGTCCGATCGAGTCATGCTAGTGCGCAGGGCGGGCCGCCGTTAAGCTCGCCTCTCTTCTCCTTCACCTCTCATCTCTCCCGGCGGGTGTCCCGTCGGGTTGTCCGCCACGCTCCTTGGTTCGCTTCACTCGCTGCTGTGGCAGCTTTGGGGCCTCTCGCCCCGCAGCCCCACGGAGAATCAGGAGGAGGAGGAGGAGGAGGAGGAGGAGGGGGCGAGGAGGCGGCGGCGCGGTGCAGGCAGGAGCAGTCGTTTCTCTGACGGGTAGGCTCTGTTTTCAGGTCAGCGGCGCTGCTCCACTGCGGGTTTGCAGCCCATGTTCGCCCGTACGGGTTGCAAGAACGCGAAGCGTGTTTGCGCGCTCGCGTTTTTGATTCTTCCACTGTACGCGTGCTCTTGTCTGAAACGTCCGCAGTGCCCATCGATTCATTCTGCCGATGCTCCTCTAGCAGTAATTGTGAGTGACCGCCGCTGGTGCGCATGAGGCTGCCCCCTGCAGCGGCGGCCTGCCCCGCCTGGTGAGAGCAGCACCGTCGAAGGACAAGGCAGACTGACCCGGCCAGTGGGCCAAATCTGCGCAGAAATGAGCGGGGCTTGGGATGAGCGACGGCGAGGCGTCTCTGTTTGGAGGGCAGAGTGACTGGGCAACGGGGCGAGACTCGTGGTTGCGCGTGGGCGTCCGAGCACGCGTGATGCACTCGAGTGGGCACAGCCAGTCATGCCATCACTTGCCATGACGAACTCGAGGGCGTACCTGACGCAGCCCTCTGCGGATAATGACCCACTAGGAGAGTCGGAGGCCGAGCACACGTACACTGCTCGGTGAAGCCAGGGTCAGAAAGGACAAGGAAGTTTGTCGTGTGCTCCAGTAGCGGAGTGCGGGGGGGCGGCAACAGGTAGTGTAAGAAAGTCTTGCATTGTCCGTCCCCTCTCTCAGGCAGTGGATCTGCATTGCTGGCGCAGTCCAGGGGAGCAGACGCACCATTGGCAAGACGTCAGCAAGGCGCACTGCTCCTCGCACAAAGCCCGCTCGCGGCTGGCCCAAGCCAGGTGGGAATCACATTCCGAGATGAAAGCTAGCCTCGTCCTTGTACATTGCAGGGCAGGTCTTTTGGGCGCGCGTTGTGGTGCGCCCGAATATCACACAACAGCTGCCCTTTCCAATACAGTACACTTGGAGAGATGCGCACGCACAGGATTACAAGCGGCGCGTGCTGGCGAAAGTGTGCGGGAACATCTCTAGGAGTTGTAGTTGGCACACGTTCAGCGCGTGATTGCTAATGGAGTTACCTTCAACTCGTATTGTATCCTATTCAACCGAAAATGAAGGGACGGTGGCCCTTTCAGTTTGGGCCAGGCTCGTACGAACATCTATGTTCGACTTTCCCAGGGCCATATGATGTTCTGACGGCCAGTCGTTGCCCGTTTTTCTGTCATTCGCATTCCGATCTCCCACCGCTGATCTTCCCACTTTACCATTGCACTACCCGTTGCCAGCACAAGTCGGTTTGAAAGCAAGGTCGCGCGCGACACTTCAGCGTAATGGCCCTCGTTGTTGTTTGTGGTTAGGTTCTCTTCTGCTGGCGGGAGAGCCACATTTTGAAAACGTGCCGCCACCCATCCGTGAAACTGTTGCAGATTTCAAGCTTCAAGATCACAAGTCGTGACGAAATCTCATGATGAACGCCCAGTCCCCAGCCCGCGCTATCGACACTTTTGGGGGTGCGACAGGGAGGAGTTCATTGTACGCAAAGGGGATGGAGGAGGAGGAGGACGACGACGACGACGCCCCCTCTGCGCCGAAAGGAGGCCGAGGCCTCCCAGACCTCCGCTGGCGCCCCAGCGCACCCGGGAGTCAGGGCGGGGCGGTTGGACGACAGGGGGGGATTTAGAACGGGAGGGGTACGGACTCTGCTGCATACAGCTGGTTTTAGCCAGGCCGCCAGGCGCTTTCGTGGATGCACGGGCGCCTCCGGCGCCTGGAGGCGTCGGGAAAGCCAGTTGCGTGCGCTGATTCGCTAACCCCTCTTGCTATCCCTCCCTTTCGTCCGACCTGTCTCGTGGCGGGGGGGGGGGCGCTGGCGATGCCCGAGTGGCGGGAGCAGCTGCAGAAAAAGCTGTCGGACACGGCACAGCCGAGTATCAAGATGAGTTTCGAGGCGGCCAGCGGGCCAGACTTTCGAGATCCGTTGTTCCGAGACGTCCTCAAGGCCATGTGCAAGATGAACGGGTGCAAGACGGTCGTGACGCAAACGTGCGCAACGTACGACGAAATGCGGCCCAGCAGCGGGTTCACGCGGCTGTTGCTCCACGATGCTCCCAAGGACCTGGAGAAGGTGAAGGGTCCAAAGAAAAAGAGGCCCAAGGCCTCGAAGGGTCCCGAGAAGCCCGGGCGAGGCGCCTCCGAGCAGCCGCCACGCCGGTGCCAGGGGGGGATTCCGCCTCCAGTTATGTTGCATATGATGCTCTTGCATTCGATGTTGTTGCTGCTGCCACGGTTGCGGATGGTTCCATTTCAGGTTACCGCTTGTACCCCTTATCCTCCCAGCCTCCCTATATTCTGTGCACCCTCCCCGTCCTCGCCTTATTATTGTGGCCAGATGTCGCGGGTGCCTAGGAGGAGGAGAAGGAGGCGTATGAGGAGTAAGACAAGAAGGAGGAGGAGGAGGAGGAGGAGGAGGAGAAGGAGGACGATGACGATGATGATGATGATGATGATGATGATGATGATGATGAGGAGGAGGAGGAGGAGGAGGAGGAGGAGGAGGAGGAGGAGGAGGATCGGGGATCCTCTTGAAGTCTCTTGGGGGCCTCTTGGGAGTCTCTTGGAGGCCTCTTGGGCGCCTCTTGGGCCCGTCTGGGCGCCCTTTTGGGCCCTCTTGGGGCGCTCTTTGGAGCCTTGGGGACGCCCTTGGAGCCATCTTGGAGGACATCGATCAAAAAGAGGGGTTCCCCAATTAGCGAGCGTTGCCCCTCAGGAGCTCTAAAAATGGCCTCTCGGGGCGCTCTTGGGCGCACTTGGGGCCGTCGTGGGGCTCTCTTGGGCCCCTCTTGGGGCCCTCTTGGGGCGATCTTGGAGCCATCTTGAGGCCTCGGAGGGCTATCGAAAGCGAACGGGCGACGACGCAAAAATCATTGATGTTCCTTGGGTGTTTAAAGGATTTTGTGCTCCTGGAGGCCTTTTTGGAGGTCTCGGAGACCTCTTGGAGCCGTCTTGGGGCGGTCTTGGTGCCGTTTGGTGCATCTTCGGAGCCATCTTGAGGCACCTTAGGCTATCTTGAGCCATCTTGGAGCTCAGCTTGGTCTCTCCGAGGTGCTCTTGGAGCCCTCTTGGGCCATCCTGAACGCTCCAACTACCAGCGTCCCCCCCATCCAGGTCAAGGGGAGGGGGTAGGGGGAGGGGTCAAGCTTCCTACCCGCCCGCAAGCCGTCTTGCCCACTCCCACCCGCCCTCCCAACACATACGGAACACCCGGGAGTCAGCATATCGCGTAAGAACGCCGCAGACGCCACGGATTCCAGATGCACTTGGAGGCCCAAGCGTGCCAGGCGCGCCAGGTGCGGCACGTGCTTCACATGCGCCCAGTATTCCACGTGCACCAGCTGCGCCAGGTGCGCCAGCCACTAGGAACCAATAGGGGCTCTTGGGCTCGGCTTTGAGCTTTCTTGGCCAATTTTGGAGCCATGCGAAGGTTTCCAAATCCCATCCGAAACGGTAAGGCGAAAAGGCAGCAGCCACTTGTGTGTCAAACCAGTCGGTCGACCACCTGCGCCCAGAAGGCAGGTGGGATCTGCTGGCACCCCAGCCGCACTTGTAAAAGACCAATACAGAATGGTCGCAGGGCGGCCGCGCATGCTCCAAATCTGGAGGCAGAGTGAGTTCTGGATTGTTTTTGTTGACAGGGATGGTGGGGGGTGGCCTTCATGGGGTTGGCATGGTTCCGGGTTGGTCGCTGGCCAGGTGGTGGAGGGGGTGTATATTCATAGGGAACAATGATAAACCCCTTTCTTGTGGGGAAGAAGGGGACTAGAAGAGGAGCCCCCTTAGACAACCTACGCCTTAAGGGCTGATGGGATTACATGTTTCCGATGACCTGCTCGGGTTTGAACATGAGGTGCGGGACGCATAGGGAGGGGCTCCCGCTTGTGACTTCCTCGCAATTCACTCACAGACAAGGCTCCCGCCTGAGACTTCCTCATTATTCATGCCTGAGGAGCCCACCAGTAACGACAGTTACAGTTTTCCGATGGCCCGCTCGGATTCGAACATGAGGCGCGGGACTAATAGAGAGGGGGCTCCCGCCTGAGACTTCCTCGCAGTTCACTCACAGACGAGCCTCACGCCTAGGATTTTTCCAGATTCCTGATGGTTGTGATGATTGCGATGAAGATGATGAAAATGATGCTGATGACGCTGATGGTGGTGTGTGAGTGTGTGTGTGTGTGAGGAGGAGAGGGTGTGCTGAGGAAGAGGACTGCGCGGGTTGTCCAGAGAAAACAAGAACACCACTTAGGATGTGGGGGAGCATCAGCAGTTCCCAATAACCCCTGGCAGAACACGGGACGAAGTGCACGCGCGCGTCGTCGCGCGCGCATGCCGAAGTCCGTCAAAAGCTTCAGGTGTCGTAAGGATTCCAAAACCGAGTGTCACAACACATATAACGCGCATGGTTTCGCAAGACGGATTTCCCCCAAAGCTTGCACGCGTTCTTGCGAATTCTTAAGAAGGCTTTAAACATCTGTTTGCTTAAGTTACCATTGTCTATACAATAACGGAAAAATGTCACCATACAGGCTTCGCGCGCACATGTCGGAGTCGTTCGAACGCCTTTGCGCACGCGCTGTCGCAATAGTCCTTGGCAAACAATGGGGCGAAGTGCTCACGCGCGCGTCGTCGCGCGCGCATGCCGGAATCCGTCAAAAACCGTAAGTTCCGAACGAATTTCAGGAACGAGTGCCCCGACACTTTATTAACAAAAGCACAGGACTTCGCAACAACATGTTTCAAACAAACCTGCGTTCGCGTTCTTGCGAATTTTAAGAACACCATATGTTTTTCAACATATTCATGACATTCCGCCAAACGGGCCTCTCGCGCCGCATGCCGAAGACATTCGAACGACCTTGCGCGCGTGTTGGGGGAGCACGATCCGTGCGAAATGATACCATGTGGGGCCACTCTCGCGCGTCGGCGGCGCGCGCATGTCGAATTCCTCCCAAAACCTTCATCACCGACGCGGGGCGGGGACGCCGTCATCGTCGTTGACGTGATCAGCATCGGCGCCGTCAGTGGCCGCGCCGTCGTCGCTGCCAACATCGTTACCAGTACCGCTACTATCATCACCGTGTCTACTGTTGTCATCGTTGCCATGATACCGCGCCCGCCCAAGTCGCCGACTCGCACAGAAGTGCCCGCTGATATGTGCCCAGCGGTTAGCGCCATCGCGGCCGCGTCGGTCGCGCCATGGCCGCCGCGCTCACGTGCACGCGCGTGCTGGCGCGGCCGCAAAGATGCACCCGCCAACACCAAGCAATCATGGCAATCGCCGCCGGTCGTGTTTTGCAGGGCAATTTTCGGTTGGGTGGGTGGGATGATTGCGCGATCAGTGGAGTTGATAACTGCGAGTTTCACAAGCGACTTGCACCACATAGGGTTCACCACATGGATTGCCCCACGCAAGCTGCATCCATCACATAGACGGTGCGAGCTTATGTTCTCGCCGGCTGCGCGCTTTCTGATCGTTTATTACATAAATTGCACACCGTTGGTTGCACGCCATAGATTGCAGCGCGTATCTTGCACACCATCGGTTGCACAACCTAGTTTGGACCACGTAGCTTGTATTGTATTATTGCATACCATAGGTTCATCTTGCAGATTGCACAACGCTTGTTTTACATAGGTCGCATTGCAACTATAGGTGCGCATATACTCACAACATATGATGCACCATCTGTATTGCACCACGTAATCTGTTCATTGTATATTGTACGTCCTATGTTTCGCAACGCATATTACTACACATCAATGGTTGCACATAAATTGCACCACATATTTTGCACCGCAACAAGTGTACGTCATGGATGGCACACCATACGTTGCGCAACCGGTACCGCATCACATTTGCACCACGCATGTTGTTTTGTTTATATATATAGCACTGTATATAACTTACCTCATAGATCACACCACATTGGCTGCACCACATCTGTTGTGCACCATAGAGTGCGCAACCTAGATTGTATCACATAGCTCGCACAAAACGTATCGCTAGAAACACACGGCTTGGGATCCGCGCAGGGTAGCACTTGTTAGACATGTACACACGTCTATATATAATTTTTATGTTTGTACACACGCGTTTCTGTACACAGGCATCAACACATAGACGTACCTTAATGTGCAGTGTAATGCATGTACAGACATGTGCGTATACATACATCGACAGCTACATCTATATACACGCATGCGCAGCCCCCCCCAGCACGCACGGATGTTGCATCCGCCGTTGGGGCGTTCACTCCTACTCCTATTGGTCGCCCTCCCTCTCTTCATCCGTCCCCGCTCGTTCGCCCTTCCTCTGCATCCTTTCTCCGGTGTTTGGTCCCCCGCTCACGGTTTGTTATCCTTCATGCTTATTCCCCCCCATCGCCCTCCCTGTTTTGATCCCTCCCCCTTCATCTTTATACTTCCCCCTCCCATCCTGGAATGGGTTTCCTTGAAACCCTGTGTGCTTTCCAATGGATTTGGGGGATTTGAGGGATTTCGCACGCTCCAACCCAAATCGAGGCCTGAGCCCCCCAAGGTTCTGGGTTCGCGAAACCAGGGGGCGCCAAACTTTGTGTTTTCAGACGGACTTTGGGGAGTCGGGGCCCTGGTGGGCTGCAGATTTGATTTCCGCTCGGAAATGGGAAATCGTCACAATCCAAAGAAGCCGTGTGAACACATAAGGTTTTTGGGATTCTCACCCCAGAAATCACCAGCATCCATGTGAAAACAAAAGGTTTGGTGGCCCATCGTTTTCGCAGAATGGTCACCGCAACCTTTGGGTTTCCTCTTCGGGGGGATGGCGCTGCGTGCATCTTCTGCAGTGCGTTGCCGTTGGTCGTGGCCAGCCAGGCGGCCAGAGCGCGCTCGCGAGCGGAGTCGAAAATGCGCACCCAAGGAAACAAAGGGGTGGAAAATATATGAAAATTGCATAATGTAGCAAGGAGGGGAAAGGAAAGGAAGAGAAGCGTTGAACATCGCCAGCAGGAAAAAGGCCGGGAATGCATGCTGGGGGTTTGCCCGCGCACACACATATATATATATATATACACATATATATGTGCTTAGTCCCCCCCCAGCGACCCCCCAGGGCCTATGATCTTCATCCTCCTCCACGTTTGCAGAGCCAGGCCGCCTATTGGTGGCGAGACCCT